TTTTCGTTGGAAAGGGCTATCTAGATAAAAAAATGTGAGTAGGCGTGCGTAACGAGCTTTTTTTCATATTTCTCGTGTTGCGTCCACCCACGATCTTTGGAAGTGGCAGCTCACGAAACCTGGTTGCGTCTACAAATCAGGTTACAGCGATGATCGATGAGCCGGGCCGCCTAATTGAGAACGAAATTCGGTACGAATAACTCGCAGGGTGACGCACGATATCCGGTACCCATCGTGTCGGGAGAGGCGCACACATAAATACAGACGGGCTGGCAGTGCGAGCGGACATAACCGATGACAGATTGGCAACGCGGGTTCTACAAAGTACGGAGGGAAATAATTCGTCGGCTCGACAACTTCATGACCCCTAAGTTACTTTCCGCGACGTTACAGTACATCTATCGGAGACTTAACGCCCTGCGCCAAGGAAATCCAGCGTGCCTACTGCAACCCGTGTGTAGGAAATTTAAACGCGTCATTCCGTGGTCTACGCGTGCGTGTGTACTCGCATAGCTTTGTTATCGGCGCGAATGCATCCAGCACCGCGCGCATAAATAACCTCCGGTGACGTTGCTCGGAAGTTGATTAACCCACGTGCCGCGAGACGAAGATACTTAATCGCGAGGAATGACGTTGCCCGACGCTCTTAAAGCTTCTCGGAGAGAGTGCGCTCAGGGACGCCAACCGTTTAACCATCTTCGACCGCGAAAAAAACACGGTTACGACAAAATGTTGCCCCGATAAATAAAGCGGATTAGAGGTAATCGAAAGATCGAACGAAACACGCCTTTCTCGTTAACCAGCCGTCTCGGGAACGATTCAATTACCACCGGACGTACGATTTTCCAAGCTGGTGTTATTAATCAATGGTTTCGAGAGTACCGGGGCTGTTATCGGTCGATCTTGAGCACCTCTGGAGGCCAAGCGTCTATCTCTCATTCGGGTATATCGTGATCTAATGCACCATAGACGACCTAATTACGCTTCGACCGCGAGCCGGCACATTTCATGCTGACACGTAACGTCCCAACCCGTACCGACTTATCATCCGACTACCGGCCGATCTCTAATCAGACCCTTTGGTTTAACCGAATCAACCGTCGCTTTTGATCGTGAATCAAAGAGGAAATTCAACGATTGGCCGTCAACTTTACCTTCCCTTCTCTTCGATTAGCTTTTCCGTCCGAGAAAATCGCGATCGGTTCGAACGTAGCTTGTCCGTTGCTCTCTAGAAGACGCGTCGGTGCAGAAAGGGTCGCGCGATCGCGAAGGATGCGCAGTGGATAAAAAGAACGAGGCGGAAACGTGGAAGGGTATCGACATGGCCGAGGCAGGAAAGACTTAATCCCGAGACGCGTGTCAGTGAACCATTTGTTCAAGGGTGAAGAATGCCCGGCGCTAAGAAATCGGCTGGCCGACGCTTCACGGGCCGATAGGTGACGTTAAGAAGAGAAATCACGCGCATCACCGGCCAGAGGAGCATAGCCTGGATAGACTATATCGACAAGGTACCCTACCGCGACGCCGACACGAGGAACACTGTAAATGGTAAAGGCACAAACATCGAGAGCCGGTGGTACGGCGGTGTGTACGGAGCGCGTGTGCACGGATAGGCCGAAAGTGGTCATGGGAAAGGTATCGGTGCGTTAAGGCCAAGACTGGATTCCGCGGGGCGAGGCCGGCTCGTTGGCGGGTAGGAGTGTACAAGGTCTTCGATACCTCGTAAATTACCACTCGGGGGCCCCCACTGCCAACCAACTCTCGGCTCAACTAATGTTAAGCTGCCTACGTTTTCGTCCTCCCGGGGAAACACTGCCGTCCGCGACCTAACCCCCTTACAGAAAAAACACAAGCGCCGATCCGTGCCGTTTCGACGCATTCTATTTTACACTCTTTTTTCGGGGTGAACCTTGTCTTCGGCAAATGAGCCGGCCGACCATCCCGTTTATTTCCAGCCCTTGGTGCTAACACCGGCCGAATCGATCGGAAATCGAAAGCGAAAGCTCGTTAAGGCGCGCCAGGGATTGTATATTCCCCGATATTCTTTCGTTCGTAAATTTTCTGCCGGCCGAACGTTATTGGGAAACACGAAACGCGCCCAGAACCCACCATCCGAGCGCGATCCTTAACACGGTCCTGATTTCGATCTCGGCCGAGGGAACAATTCGAACCTAGACATTCCGAATTCCACGGCACGCCTTCGCTCGATGGCCCTCCGACGCGACCATTTTCAAAATTTTACAATTTCCTACGCCTCCGCTCGTTCCAATTAATCGTAACCAACTTTTCTCTCGATTATTTACAATTACGAGAATGTTAACTCTGTGTCTTCCTAGCTTACCTTCTATTCTCGAGGGAGATTCTATGGCTGAAAATAAGTAAAAGCCGTAAAAATGAAAAGTAGACTGAGAATTTCGACCGAATTCGAAAATGTTTCCCAAAAAATACAGGCTTGGGGTTCGATGACGTTCGTTCGTAGCGCGAACGGATGTAACCGCGTCGTGCAACCCTCCATAAGACTGTCGTTGGAAGAGACAGAGATCGCCGAGGTGCGCGCGAAACCAACTTTACGACAATATAATTTTGGTAGCGACGCACGAATGGTGTGGAATGCGACGATCGGAGTCAACGAACGGTATAGAAGTCTTCGATACGTCGTAAATGGCCCATCCCCGACCCCTTTCCAGCCGTATCCAGCTCTCCATCTCGATGGATACATGCACGTATATATACGCATAATATCGGGCTGCCTACGTTTTCGTCCTACCAATGGAAGACTGACAACGAACGAACGACCGAAAACACTGACGACGCGCCCAGTCCTCGCTCGCGAACAAAGCTCGGTAACTCTCTATTATACGACCGATCGAGAAAAGGAAGAGAAGACCGAGGCCACGCCGACGAATACGAGGCTTCGTACATTCCTGCATTTTAGTAGCAAATTGTTTTTTCGCACGATCGTGCTGCGGATCATTTGACCGTGACGGAACCAACCAACGAACCAAGAGCTGATGAGAATGAGAAGCATAGCAGCAACTGTTTAAAAATAATAGAGTACTTGTTCGAAGGAAACTATATTAAAAAAAATCTCTTTGGAATTTTTAACAGGATTTGCATGCTGCTGGGAAACAAAGTAGCCGTCGATAGCCTGGAAATCGTTCCAGGGTGACAGAAATTAAAGTCGGCGACATTCAAAGCGAAAAAGTATTTCAAAGAATATTTCAGCCTAAACGGTTTTCGGTCAGTGGCTATTAACCCTGTGCAGCGGGATTCGTTTGAAACCGAGCAGGAACCGATGGTCCGTAAAGCAGAGTGGAGGACCGCGAAGAGTCCGTGGGCTCGGGCAGAACCGATTACATCGAAGGATCCCGACGTTGGGGCCCAACTTTTGACGGGGGGATTCACGAGAGAGCCTATTGTTGTGCTTAATTTAGCGTTAAATTGTTTACATCTCATTAATCGCCGGGAAGAACCTGCGGGCAGACCGTCATGATCATCGATGCACGTCAGTCATGGACCGTGGGCATCGCTTTTAATTTCGAATTGACCACCGTGGCCGAGCTGTACCCTGGTCTTGGAAAGAACGGACTATATCTCGCGTGTCTCTTGTTTCAACGTGTACGATGGAGGAACGCTCTCGGTCGAGTCTACGTCGCTCTCTAGCACGGTGCACTCGACTGCGTCAGCCACGAACGACAGTGGAGCAATATTGGAACTCGAGCTCGACTCGACTAGACCGGTTCGTTCGTTCACTGTCAGTCGAGTGCACTTCGCGGTAGCGACACACGCGAGCACGTTATTCCGCTGGGTTACGGTCGACCAATACAAAACGTCCAACTACGTCCACCTTGAACCGTGTCGCTCGAGTATCCTCTATTAACGCTGCGTTTACCGTTCGTTTGCTAGGGACAATGTTAACGTACCGAGACTCCTGAGCCTTTTGCGACATCGATTTCTATGCTTCAAATTGTTACAGCCTTCCGAGCGTGAACCGTATCGCCAGGATCGCAGCTAGAACCATCGGGGGATTTAAGAACCCGCTAAAATGTGTTTCCGTTTTGTTGCGTAACACAAAATACGACCGGTAGTCGAAACACGATAAACTGATCGCTCGAGACTATCGAACAACCATTCCCCTTTACTAGTTGGTTGCGTAGTATAGATAACAAATAAGTTTTTGGAATTCTGAGCCAAGCCTCGGGTACGCGTGCATCCCTAACGTAAGCGCAAATCGTACCCGGAAGTCGCTAACAGTTTTAACTGCAACATCTCGCACAGTGGTTCAAGCTGTATCGGAATGCCGATTATTTCCGGGGTGCTTTAGTCGGTTAATGTAAATACTTTGGATAAACGACTCGAGGAATAGTAACCCGCGCCGTAAACGCGGATTTGCCGTTGAGTCGGGGAACAGAGCCCCACGACAGTGTAAAATACGAAACCGCTTGATTATCTATGGTCATATTTCTCGTCGCCTTCGTTTTTGTTAACGCATTAGTAGACCCAAGCACAGCTACATGCTATGATCATAGTATAATTTCACATAATGAGAACTCTGGTAACCGATCGGTTAAGGGATACAACGACTATCTACACGGAATCTCATGCTATCGGCTTTCAATAAAGTTGATAAAGTCAACTGTACAGGTACAGACCGCGAGACTATCCGACGCCTGTAAAGGAGATGCAACCGGCGAATAATTCACCCGTTATCTATACCATCTACTGGCTGGTTAAGCAATTTCTCGAGAACGTCGATATAATGCCGTGTTCCACGCGTTACCGGCGAACAAGAATATTCTACGAATCACGCACGATATATGAAATTAGAATGTTTTCCTACGTTAAACGCGCATTGACGAAAAACGCGTGTAATCAATAATAATCGTAGACAACATAACCATCGATATAACTAGATTCGAGTCATTTTCGCAGCGAAAGTGAACGTAATGTATATGAAGTAAAATATTTGTTTGCGTAACATGCACGGTTGAATGACTTACCTGTTAGATGACTGCCGGTGAATTCAAAATCATCGTCCTGATCCCAGTGCTTTAGGCTCAAATTCGATAACGAGGTCGCGTTGGCAAATTCCAAATTCGCGAAATGCCAATCCAGTATTTGACGATCCTTCGAAGATAGGTACACATCACTGTTAACAATGAACAAAGTTTCGTATGTTAACCAAAGTTTAATAGAAACGATTATTTAAACGGTACAGGCCATACGTAAAATTTACCTTGGAGGAGAAGCCTCCAATTCCTGTAGCTTTGCTTCGATTTCCTTTTGTTGTTCCGACAATTGATCCCACTCCTAACGCGCAGAAAATTAACGGTGTAAAATACGTAATTAATTATTATAACTGAACAGAATGTTATTAGAGTCTGTACCTTGCACGTGTTATGAAGATCGCGTAATTTTGAACGTAACACGAATTCTTGCGTTATATCGCGTGTCTGTAGTTTACTTTCGGTCATTTCTTTATATTGCTTATTCAACTCGACCAAACGATCCATGATCGATATCATCTGTAACGTTCGATAAAAGACACTTTCAAAAACTTTAAAGAATAATTGTTATGATACTTACTCTGTGTTGATTAGTGATAAGTCTTCCTTGAAGCGATAACACGGAACGTAGATGAGCAACTTGACGTTGTTTAACGCCTTGTTCTTGCAAACGTATCACCCACTCTAATGCTTGACCTAAAGACACGGGTCGCGTGTTACCACCCTGGCCAGTCGATCCAGCATTACCCACGTAATTGAAATCTAATTGATGCGAAAGATACGATGTTGCCTCCAATAACCTATTAAATTCCCTTTCTACCATTTCATCCTTATCTTTTGGAACCTGTTTGTGTCCAAAATGTTAAAAGTAAGCAACATTTTGAAACATGTCTTATTGTCATTGTATTTCCAAAGAAATAATTATAGTAACCGTTCGACCGTCGCTTTCGTACAAAGGACACTTTTGTCTAATTTTGTGGAGTTCCATATTAATTTGTTTACTAAGCGTTGTTACGGGATTCCCACCTAAACCTGTAACTACCATTGCACCAAGGTCAGCAATGTACGAAGATTTACGAAAAGTTGCAATGCGACCACCAACGCGATCCTATAAAATACGAAATACACGTAAAAGGTCGTACACCCTTTACGAAGGCGAGACAAATTGTATTCGTAAATAACGAATACAAATTTTAGGTTAGTTCTAAAACTAACTTCCGCTAATGGATTTTTTAATCCAACATCCAAACGAGCAAATCCACGGTTAAAAGCTACGTTATGAACAAATCAAAAATTTTTATTCGTCGTTCGTGAATAAAATTTGCCGGAGTCTCTTTTACAAATATAAACTACAATTTAGAATGATACTTACCCTTGCTTCGAGGACGATTACTTCTAAACCAAATTGCTGCATCTGTTGAGCTGCAGCTAAACCAGCAATACCTGCCCCAATTACAATTACTTTACCTAACTTCTTAGTAGGTAATGGCTGAAATGAGAAGTTTGGTATTAAAAGAAATACAACCTTGGATTAGGTTGGAAACAATAAATTACAAAACGTATATTACCTTAAATCGCTTGAATACACCAAAGTTTATAAAACCATGCCTTTCTAAAAATGCATGAATTCGACGTGCTAATACAGTGTCACTGTTATAAGGTGGTTCGATAGCTGGCAGTGCATTTTCAATGATCAATTGTTGTTTTGGATTCTCTAGCCATAGTTGCAACTAAAATAAAAAATTACATCTAACAAAAGAAATACTTTACAAATGTGGGTCATTGTTGTTATACAACGTACCAGTCTGTTTCTTATATGAAGGAAAACTTTCTGAGTTTGTGGTGGACCGCCGGAAACATCTGGGAAACAAGCTGCCTCTGTAGAAGTTAATTTATCAAATGGAAGACGACTTTGAAATGCTGCCCCTTCTAATCCATTAAGTAATTCTTTCACTATAATTGAAAATATACTTTGAAAGCCTTTTTCTCAAAGAGGAAATAATACTTTGTTAATCTTTTGTGGACCCAAGGTTATCTTATATAGTTAAAGCTGTCAGGAATATCCTACCTTGAGACCGCAAAGGATTTAAAAAATATTATTTACCATGTGGATCTTCATGATCACTATCTTGATCATCCTCTTCTTTCACTTCCACTTTTGTTGCCGAAGATGTAGGAACAGATTGTGGCATGGCAGCATCAACCTCTTTCTTTACTTCAGGCACAACTTTTTTCTCTGGTGTTACTAGACCAGTTTTAGATTTCTCAGATGTGTCTGAAGCATTTTCATCCTCTAACTGATTATACTTTTCTTCCATTTCTCTATATTCCACCTACATACAGGTATAGATACAACAGAATGTACTGCCAATCATAACTTTTCACAAAATAAGGCTTAACAAGAGACAGAGATCCATCTTGACATATAGGTTAAACATGTTTGCAGCTATTTATGAATTAAAAGTTGTATAAAACGCTTTCACCTTGATAGATACGCACAAAATTCAACTCAAGTAAAAAAGAACTAACTTATGATTGCTGACAAATTAGTTCAAACAACGAATAATTAATTTAATCAAAACATAACCTAGTCTACTTGTTTACAACTTAAAAACGTTTACTATTAGGACGTATACATTTTATTACACATACAAATTTATTTGCCTGAACAACAATACATAGAAAAATACAGATAAACGGACACTTGCTTCATATTATGAGAAATATTGTAAACATTTCAAATTAATCATAACAATACAAAAAGTATCCATCGAAGCAAACAGTATTAATAACACCTGAAAAGCACAATAGAACAAACCTTCGCCCTTTTCCTTCGACTCATGTTGTTGCTATTTAGTAAGATTTCCACAAAATGTAATCTCTACTGTGCAAAATCACGCAGGTTTGTTTTGGCTCTTCAAACCGGCGGCACATACAATTATGAAAACCAGAAACTACAGTAACATAGAATACTACGTCAAACAGAAACGCAGTACGTCTCTGACATCTATATTAAACAATCTTAACTGTATAATGACTCTAATCAAAACGTTTATAATTGCAGCAAATAATACATCTTAAATCTTTATACATATTCACGATAAAACATTTCTCGAATGCGTTACTTAATAAGTTCCATGACTTGAAATTATGTAGAAACTTTCTATGTGAACTGCTCTCACCAACCAGAGATGCCAGAAAAGCACCGTCGGGTGCACACGCACACATGCCAGATACGCGTACGTGAGCTCGTGGAGTTTCGGAAAGTCGACAAAAGCAAACTGACGCATGCCCTCTTTCTCGATTCTCCGAAGCTGCCCGAAGTAATTTCGGATCGCCTCGTGGGAGTCGAGAGAGAAAGGCTCACATTTGCCTTCTCGCTCTAAACAACTGAAATCCGACCTCCCGTCAACAGCATACGATTTGGATTCTCGAGCCGAGATTCTCGACTGCCCAGGCATTTTTACTTTCCGACCTATGTAGGCGCACATAAGGAAAGTACCCATAATGAAAAAAAATTTTGTAAAATTTATTTTACGGAAATACACGTTTTAAGACCTCCTGATCATATTTTAATTATTGAAAAAAAAGAAATTTTTTTTTATTCCCATGTATGAGCACACATATGTATATTATTAATACGATTTTTGAAAATCAAAATACTTTAAGATTGAAAATTAATAAATTAAAATGAGATTCCACTCTTTACCAGTATTGAGCACGCTGTGGTATTTTTCAATAAGAAGAGTACTTACTTTTATAACAAACAAACAGTAGAATTAATAATTGCAGAAATTAATTAATAATGATTTTCCTCGATTGTTTTGAGATAACTATCAATTTGTTATGACGAACTAAATAGAACTAACTAGAAACAAAGGAAAAGTATCCCGTTTGCCAGTTTAATACAAAGTATGGGTTGTATCTTAAATTTTAAAAGGACATAGTCGAATATTTTTAAAGCTACAAAACATAGCGTTTCATTGTAGAACAGTAACATAAGTTAGCAGGTAATGTCATAAAACTGTTTTTCCCAGCTATATCCCTTTTTACCTGAAGTATAAGGTAAAAAGTACGAGCTACAAGGTACGACTATCCGAAAATCGTTCACATTTTATCAATGTAAATGAAGCGGCCTTTCCATCAGAGTTAAATACAAAATTTTGTTATTTCTGTGAAAACAAAACTTTCAGTAAATGTACGTGGTGTTTGAAATTTTTATGTTTTGACTGTTTTTGTGAAAAGTACCATCCAGATTCATGTACTTCGTACATTGAAAATAACATATGTTAAATGTAATCGGTTAAATTTAACTTTAAAAAAAAATATTCGAAGGTCAGACAAAAATATAATGTCATATTTAGTGTACGATTAAAGTATGATTGAAAAAATAAAAAAAAAAAGTTCAAGCAGGATTCGAACCAGCAGAGCAGAACAAGTTCGGAACTTGCAGGCAAAGACCTCATCACTCACGCCACGCTGATTAGTGGTGAACATAGTTCTATTTCTGAAAATAAGTATCTGTAATAACTTTAATAATATCTCAAAGTAAAACCTAACTCAAAACCTGGTACCATTCCAACTTTTCCTTGTTAGAAACGAGTTTTCAATTTGTCTTAGCGAAAGTCGCAATCACATTTTGCACATTATTCTAAAACATTTGTGGTATTCGTTTTCAATGCGATTTAAGTAAGCATGTAATGTATAAGATTTCATTTAATGTTTTCTTTTCTAGAGAAGATAGAGAAAAAGTTTATATAATTTTTTTTATATAAAATTTAATTCGTCCTAAGATTTATATGAAACATTTAAAAGATTTTTTATACATTATGCCTATATATCGGAACAACTATGAAACAAGAGGTATAATCTGTAAGGAGTGTATGTGTGTGGCTAGGAGAACCGTTATCGTTTGCGTCGATAGGAGTGTTTAGTCTAAGCTAGAGTAGGTATCGAGTGAGGTGTTTAGGTTTAAGCTGAAATACGTTTTAGAGACTGCGTCTCGAACGTGCGTTTTGTTTAGATCATTATTATAAGATAGGAATAAGGAAGGGTCGACTTTGACTGCAGGAACGTCACTCTGTATCGAACGTTAGTCGAGAGCAATCACAGTTTTACGTTTATGATCTTTTACGTTTACGTTTTATGTCTTTCTTTTATGTTCTTTATGTTAAATAGTTAGTAAATATTAAATAATATAATTACATCGTTACGTTTAGTGTTCACGTATTTGAATCCGTCCACACGCCTTTGAAATGAGAACATAAAACTTAAATGTAAAGTTTCATTTAAATTCATACAGCTATTTATATTCAATCGTATTAACCAGTTAACTGTGGCACGCTCGTTTGAGAGCGCGCACCGTTTTGTGTCGCCAGAATCGAGCCATGACGAGTATACTCGTCAATCACAGAGTAAGTTGCGCTGGTAAGATATTGGATCAAAAAGATGGGTTTATTTTATAAAATTGACAATTTTATTAGTAATATTTACTTATTTGTTTAACATACACATATATTACATACATATTAAACTAAACACGCAATAAAAACCCACTCGATAGCTAGATATCTTCGGGCCAGTAGGTATCAATAGGCTCAGCGCCTGGTCGGTGTCACGCATTTGTCCCATGACTGACCATACCTGAAGGAACCCTATTATAAATCAACTTTCTGACTTTTGCCTTTGCCCCTTTTAGGCTAACATCTAAAAAACGTTATCATTGCACATAAATAAATTCGTTATGCGAACTGGTAAGCTGTTTCAGCCGGTGCATACGGGGATGCATAAGTTCATCTCAAATTATTTATATTTTTTATTTGCTTGTTTTATTCCGCCATGGCCTCAAAATATTCTAAACATCTTGAAATTTAAGAATATGTTTTGTTTTTCTCAAAAATTACAATTTAAATAGTCAATGGTAACTACTTTATAGGCATGACAAGTATACTCGTCAATACACAAAATCGTGCCACTTCTCCATGACGAGTATACTCGTCAATCACAGTTAACTGGTTAATAATATACATATGTGTGCTCATACATGGGAATAAAAAAAAATTTCTTTTTTTTCCAATAATTAAAATATGATCAGGAGGTCTTAAAACGTGTATTTCCGTAAAATAAATTTTACAAAATTTTTTTTTCATTATGGGTACTTTGCTTATGTGCGCCTACATAGGTCGGAAAGTAAAAATGCCTGGGCAGTCGAGAATCTCGGCTCGAGAATCCAAATCGTATGCCGTTGACGGGAGGTCGGATTTCAGTTGTTTAGAGCGAGAAGGCAAATGTGAGCTTTTCTCTCTCGACTCCCACGAGGCGATCCGAAATTACTTCGGGCAGCTTCGGAGAATCGAGAAAGAGGGCATGCGTCAGTTTGCCTTTGTCGACTTTCCGAAACTCCACGAGCTCACGTACGCGTATCTGGCATGTGTGCGTGTGCACCCGACGGTGCTTTTCTGGCATCTCTGTCACCAACGAAGTACGAATAGATTTTGATCACGAGGGGAAAGTTACTAAGTTCCGGTTACAATTTTGTCGGAGTCAAACGAACATCGAAATGACGAACGTCCATTTGACTAGGATTTTATGGCGCACAATTAGACATAGAATCATTATATCGATGATCGTATAGCGATATAACTAATTTTTCAAAAACTCTAACCTTTGAACAATATATTATGTAAATCGTTATGAAATAACAATGCTTTGAGAATAAATCACGATCAATTAAAATATGCTATTGCTTACAAGTTCAAATACGTAATAATTGTATGAATTACTCCGAAATATCGATGTATTAAATATGACTTAACATTCTAAAGTAAAAAATAAAGAAAATTTATAATGTTTTCGGAAAATATTAATTCGTGACTTCTAGAAGAAAGTTACCAACTCTAGCACCAACCAAAATGCGTTGCAAATAAAAAAGGCTTTTGGTTGATGATAGACGAGTATTAATATTTCTTCAATGTATATCGATATTACAACAAACTATAACTTTAACAAATCTAGACCATGTAACATAGACCGTATATTATCTATATTGCAATGTTGCTTGTGAAAATTTTGTTATTCATTGAGAAATATTTTTCGTCGTCTATCGATACATTTGTACTTCATGACTATAACTTTACATAACATGAATTCTTGAATGCAATATTTACGAATATGTATTTGACGATTCGACACACAACATTAGAATTTAAACAATAATTGGAAAATGAAGATTCACGTAGGATTCAAACGAAATACCATTGTCTTGTCCCATTTTCACTGCTAAGTTTGTATAATATAATATTTTATTGTAGATTTTAAATAAATTAAGATCTGTTGTATTTCGAAATACAAGCAATCAAAACAGGACTCTCTTTTACTGGCTCACTATTATATTTAATAGGTATTGTAATAAAAAATTAATAATTTGTGTTTGACGTACAAACTAAATTCTTTTCAAGAAGATTCTTTTTCAAGAGTTGATGAACAACGCATAAAAGAACTTGGTCCTGATCTTGCTTGTGCAGAATGGCTTTTAAGAAATGGAGCATTTGTTAGATGGAAAGATTGCTCAGAAGAGTTAACATGTTATGATTCATTACCATCCGAAAAAAATAATTATTTCATTGAGGCTGTTAATGCTAATGATGCTGGAATTAGTCATGTTGGGTTTCCATACTTTGGTCAGTGTTACAGAAGTCTTTTTTTATTAAATGGAATTAAATTTAACCATAATTATTCACACAAAATGTTGATTCAGAAGGGTGCAAACATATAAAGGAAATAAAACTTGAAAACTGTAGGTACATCAATAATCAAGCTATACCATTATTGTCAGTTCTTAAAGATTCGCTAAATAAACTGGAACTTATAAATTGTAAAAGTATTACCAATGAAAGTTTACCAGCCATAAAAGTTTTAAAGTATGTAATATATATAAATATTTTAAAGAAATACAATAAACAGAGTTCCAAACATAATAGCACATCCATTTTTCAGAAATTTAGAAATATTGAAACTTCAAGGATTACCGTATCTCGAAAATAAAGATTCAGTTTGCAAAGAACTCATTGAAGCCCTACCTAACTGTAAAATTGACATCTCATAAATAAATTATATATTTTGATGCATAATGTACCATTACTTTTATATTACTTCTATTGAAAAATGTAAAATAAAATGTGAAATGTAATTTCCGTAACATTTGTGTAATTCAATCACATATACCTTTTCTCCAGATATGTCTTAAACAAATACGCCATATTTTACAGCTCTTATGTTTAACTATGGAATGTTAAACGTATATAATTGTAATAAATCGTAATGAAATCATAAACGTATGTAACAAACTCATCTCTGGAAGCTGTTGTACATTTCCACCAATATTTCCGTTAATATTCCCGCCAATATTTTTGCCTATTCCCGCCAGTATTGCCACCTATTCCCGCAAATATTGTTACGTATTCCCGCCAATATTTCCACCTATTCCCGCCCATATACTACTTCAATATGTTGGCTAGCCTGCTTTGTGCAATATCGAAGATTCGAAGTTTGAAATAATTTTGAAAGTGTCGAGTGAAAGTGTAAGATTTAACGTTGTACGAGATTTTTTCATTAAATATTTTAACAATTCATAAATATGTCTCAAGAAATGAATATTTTATGCTGTTTTTCCTGTAAAATGTATCAGGTACCTTCTAAATACGTTAATTATCGTAATTACCAATGTGTTGCGTTATTACAATTTTTAACGCATTCTTTACAATTTCTTTTTCAGGTCCATATAGTTAAAAAAGCGAAAAAATGGCAGTGCAAAATATGCAACGTGAAACAGTCATTCAGTCGGGTAAGTCTTTTGCTGTTTTCTATATTAAAGAATTTTATCATAAATTTTTGTCATAAATGTAACGAAATATAATTCTTAATATTGTCGAATAAAAAATTAAGGAATGCTAAAGAGTAGTCGAAAATTAAAATTTATAGGTTTATTTCCAAGGATCAGGGAAAGATTGTCGTATTCATGTTCAAAAATTAAATGCTACGAAAGAGTATGAAAATCAACCAAGTACATCATTTGTAATGGGCAATGATATGCATTATGGTAGTTGTGACAATGATTGTTTTGAGCAGACTAAGTTAGAAGTAGATAAAAATAGGAAGACAAAATATTTAAATACATTGTCCAAAGAGACTCTATGTAGCACTTTCCAAACTTCAAACCATGAGAATAATAGAGAAAATGATAACTCTATGCATCTGAGTAATAACAATATGAGATACGAATGCTTCCAAAGTACTCCTTGTTATGAAAATAATAAAATAGAAAATTCCTATTGCAATGGAAAAGAATGGGATAATACCATAGCTCAAGAATCATTTAATGATAAGTCAAATGATAATACAGATAGCAAAAAAAATATTTTTGGCAAGAACATAACAGAAGCCAAAGATATAACAAATATTTTTGATGATAATGAGGATTTTGATATTACAATTGACTTTTAATTTTCTTCAATTCCTTTAACTCCAATAAAATATCAATTATTTTTTCTGAAACTTTTGTAAAAAATACATATATTAATAACAATTTTTTTGTATCAATGTTTATTGTTCACCCTTATACAATAGCATAGGAAACAAAGGAAATATGAATTATCGTTTGGACAGTATTTATTTGTTTATTTCGCATGATTTAAATACATTGTTTTAGTTTCAAAATCTTGTAGATATTCTCAGGATACTAACCGAGAACCTAGTATATAACACAGACATACGATTGTAAAAAATAAAACGCTAATGGAAATAGTTAAATAGTTGATAAAAGTTATACAGTATATGGTTTGTGACAAGAATAACAGAGTATCTTTTAAATCTTTTGTCATACTTGAAGTAATTATATCCAATTCAAAGTAATACATATATAGATCCATCAGCATTTCATTTTTTATAATAATGACTGTTAGCTGTAGCAATCACAAAAGTTTGCATACTCCTAGTAAGACAGAAGATTGCGCAGAATAAATGGCACTGAAAGTTTATTTAGTTTCAGTGAAATATAAACAGTCTTAGCAATGCATATCTTTAGATAATGGCTGGAATCACTTTTTGCCTTTTACTTTTAACGAAATTAGTTTGTAAAGATTGTAAGACGTTTTGTAGCAGTGCGTCATAAGAGCATTTTTATTTTGCATCGCTTAAAGGCAATAGGAAAATCAATAAAGTGGCAGTTTTAGTGGAATAGACGTTTTACGAAGGTATAATTGTATAGAGAATTTTTGCAAGAAAAGGCAAAAGGTTTTTGGCAGGATGATTTTGCTATTGTGTCCATTTTTTTGTTGTGCGTATCAGTCCATAGTCACAAATCCAAATTTGAACTGTCCTAATGCGATAGATGAATACTTAAACTCTTTCTGTTCCTTAGACAAACTATTGTCTAGAAAGCTACAGGTATTGGTTATTTACTTCGCGAAGAAGTATCGTTTTTTAATTTCAGATAATTGAAGTTTCAAAATTACTCTAAATTTCATTAGGCAAGTATCGATACAAGTTATTTGCTTCTTGTATAAAGACCTAAAGAGACGAGAGTAAATAAATTATTATAAAAAATATCTGCTATTAAGTAAAAAAAGGATCATCGTTTAAATCGTTTCTCGTTCTTGTTTGCGTGTTCCAACTAGACGCACATGGTACACGAGAAATTCGTTTCGATCAGTCGCAATAATTTTACCATAAAAAATAGCATTAAAAATATGCACAGTAGTCATCGAACTGTGACTGTCTAATGGAATAAAAACGTTATCAATTAAATATCACGATTCCGTTTTTTTTTTTTAATTAAATATCACTAAATAAATTACGTTATTAAATGCATTGCAAAATTAATTAATATACATCTAAGGCAATGCGTCACGCATCCTTCGACAATACGACCAAAGAGAAAACAAATAAACCGTTCAGTACTGATGTCTGTGTCGTCGGAAGTTCACTGCGTCTTGATGATGCCTCCAATTGCTCTGCCAGCTTCTACTGCGTCTGTTCCAAACACTGTTCAACAGGAAAATACGTGATAGAAACGTTTGGCTTGTCTACCAAATAGCATAAACTTTATTATTACTTTGCTATATCGTGCTCGGCATTAATCAGTATGCAATAGTCAAGCTTTCAATGGCTTACTTACTTTTGCAACTTTTTTCGTCTCTTATTAGGTGGACTACCAAGTTCACTTTCACGAATAATTTGCAAAGCTGACGGTACAAACATATCCTCTATGGAAACGAATAACATGAAATAAACTGTGGCAGGAATGTGTCCCGATCCCTCGCGTATCATCGTACCAACTTACCGAAAGTGTTCACGTATTTTCTCTTAGAGATCAATCTTTGATGTTGTTGCGGCTGCGGTAAAGCTTCCCTCGCGTTTCCAACAGTGCAATCCCTTGTACCTTTACACCCTTTCAAATGCGCCAATTGATTATGAAGATAGGACCTTTCGATAGGCGTTAACGAGGAAATTCTGTTCCATTGCTCGAATGGGTCTGAATAATAAAATAGTAACGATAGAAATCGATTTGCTAGAAAAGAGACAATTTAAATACCATACTTACCGATTCTCAGATTATAATAAGTGACCAAACCGGTAGTGAACTCGCAGTAAAGAAAATTATGAGTCGCGTTAATCGTACGGATGCACGAGTACGTGTTATTGTTCGCATTCATGCAGAAACAGAATGGGCCTGCACTCCACATGGGCGCGGTACGCCAGTGATCGTTGTCGTGCTCGAAACAATTCATTTTCTCCGTCAGACATTCTTTCTCGAGCTTAGCTTTCTTCCTTAGCTTTCGCTCTTTCTTTTTTAAACGTTCCTCCTTCAGTCTTCTCCTCTCTTCCCTAGCGATTTCTTTCTCGTCCTTCTTCGTATACGTATCAGGTTCGCAATAGCATTTGTGACGAGCTTCAAGAGGGGTGTTCAACATCGGCGGCAATCGACGATTGCTTGCTATATCGATTATATCTATCGTAAAAAAATATGTTCGATCAGATTTTATGTTAGAATCTATTAAGAACAGACCCAAACAATTCTTTCATTTTTAGAGGTATCATAAACAATTGCGGAATAAAGTTTACTTTAAAGATAATAGAGTTATTCGGGCGGCCTGTTTCAAGCGTCTTATTCTATGTACAGGCACCAACCTTGTCGATTCTTCCTGTCAGGAGATTCTAAAATGGTAACGTCTATCCTAGAAGGTCCAAGATTTCCCGTTGTTCTATTTTTCTGCATCTTTGGGAATTTTCTCGTTGGAGTGATGGTAACTGGTGTCGGCATTGGCGTCGTGATCGTAGTCATGGGTAACGATGCAGTTCTAGAACGATCGTTGGTCGTTGTTTTAACAAATACAGGAGTCGTTCTTTGCGACGCTGTTGATTCGGCAGCGTTTGAAGTATCTGAACCTGTCGATAGCACTGTTTGCGCATCCATATCTAGTGTAGTTTCTCTGACAAAGTCACTCCAAGTCCCTGTACTGCTAGACGTCTCCTTTTGAATCGTTGTCTCTTTCATCGTAGTGGTAGGAAGAATCGTGTATTTGGTCTGATGATACTGATGCCTCGGACTGGACACTGTACTCTGTGTGGTTGCGATTGTCTCTGCCGTTTCACTGACGTTCACTGCCGAGACTTCATCGTGGACGTTATTCGTAAACAGCGTGTTGTTTCTGCGATGATGAATCTTTTTGCGCTTTTGCGACTTATCGTCCTCGACTTCAGTTCGGTTGTTCGACGTTTCTTTAATCCTCGGACGACGCGGTACCTTCTTCAATTTAGTCGTCATAGGCACGGTTGTTGTAGTTAATTCTGTCGTGGTGATTGTATCGCTGTCAGTACTGTCAGTAGAGGTGACATTAGGCCTGGGTTTCACCGTAGTATCCATAGAAGTGATTCCTTCCTCCGTGACTTGATTCGATTTCGAAGTGGAACGGATTGCCGGAACGGCTTGATTGGCAGTACTCGCGTGATCGTGTTTCTTGTGATGACGATTCGCGTGATTCCTTGGTGAATGATGATGCGATTTCGGAGATTCTTTCGCATCCTCGGTATCTTCTTCCGTGTCTGGGATGAAGTGAGGTCGCTTGATCATCAAGTGACGACGTATTTCCTATCAAAAGTACAACAGTATTAATCAAATTAGACGATACGATTATTACCGAGACTCACTTTGAGCGTTTCCAACTGCATCCTCATTTCTTTAATCTGCTGCTCTATTTCTCGCCTCGAAATGCGCCACTCGTTCGGATCCTGATAGACGGTTTCCGAACAATTCACTCCACCCTGCGGGAGGACCGAACACTTGGCTGGCAACGTTTTGCGCGTTTCCGAGTGGCGAGCTTGCGTCTGCTAAATGCGAGAAAGTTGTTTTCGAGTGACGGTTATGGAAAATCGTTTGCTAACTTCCTACGATCGAGGGAGTACCTTCAAGTCGTCGAGTTCTTCCTCTATGCTCTCCATGATCTTGGTCACGTGTTCCACGGTGTCTTTCTTCGTGGCGCTTCGTCGCACCCTTCTGTGCCTCCTGACCACGTCTTCGACGTTCAATCGACCTTTCACGATCTTGTCCAAATCAAGATCAAAATTCTCCATCGTGTACTCGGACTCTTCCAAGTTGTCCAAGTCGAGCGTTTCCCGATGAATGCTCGATGTACGATTACCGAACCTATTTCCGAAGATACATCCGTCCATGAAACGTCTGCAATTTATCAAAGAAAGCATCGAGAGCTCTCGAAATTCCCTATACCTTGAAACGAACCTCGCGGATTCCCTTCTCACGTTCTCCGCGAGTTCGTTCATGTCCTGAAAGAATCCCTGGTCGATCGCGCGCCGGTCCCGGCCACCGTTATTATAGCTATCATCGTCCGCGTCGGTATCTCGATAACTATCTTCGCTCGGGTCAGCTTCGTCCGGCGTGTCTCGTTTGCCTAACAAAAATCGTGAACGATGATCGCCAGCTTCCTCGGAACGGCTGTGCATTACAAATTCCATCATCGCGAGAGACGCGTTCCCATCAAACCGTGATCATCGATTACGAGTTATTCTCGATCGTACCTCGTTTAGCAAAGTATCTGGCCATGTCGCTGTACATGTCCGGTGGTCGTCTGTCCCTACCGAAGCCGTACCGGTGTCCCTCGTAATCGTTCGACTCCAATCTCGTGTAGACCACTCCGTTTGGCGTGAAGCAGGCACATTTCTTCGACATCCGCGGCGGAGGCGCAGCGTATTTGCACTTGTACTTCCTCCATCGGTGACCATCCCTTTCACAACGCCATTTTTGACCCGGGACGCAGTTCGCCTGAGCTTCCGGTCGCGAGCACTCAACCGCGAGTCGCTCGTGCTTCGTAGTGAAGGTCGAGTGCACCGGATGGACTCTGTTATCCAGATGCAGCTCCGAGTCTGAAAGGATCGTCATTTTCGAAACTACTCGACGAGAACGAAAGCGAAGGGAACACGGACCGATAAAATAGGATTAGAGCCGATATTCTGACCGAAAGTCTAAGCGAGACATAGTTAAACCGGAATTCGAACGCTTCGTCGCGATAATCCCGCGATCGAACGAGTAGAAGATCGTTCAAGGTAACGGCAAGCATCGATTATGAACGTTCTCGATTTATTAAAGATCATAGCTTCTTGGTAACGCGCTTCGTAATTACAGATTGGCAGGAAATTATAGAATCGGTTTGATCTAATTATAGTATAAAAATGGTAATGTACGCATCCACACTGTGTCAATTACATATCGTTGCGAAACGAACGTTTTAATTAAATATATTCACGGTTTCCTAGCTTGTTCAAATCCGAAAGCATACGCAAAACAGTTACGTTCGCTTTATTCCACCGACAGTTTCGTAAATCTGGGCCCAACGTAATATATTCATCAAAGGATCATAATGCCAGATTGCGGCTTTTGAAGCGAAGACTGGTTTTATTGGCACGGAAAGGTCAGCGCAGCATCGGCGTAAAAGATTACGGCTTCCTGCTGTAGAAACTACGTCTCGGATAAAGTGCATAAAAGCTAATGATTTACCGTTTAATACTCTGTTAAAGAAAATAGGAAAGCGCGTTACTCGAGTCGTCGATGATCGAGTCCTCGAAGTCTTCGTCTTCGGAAATGTCCTGGTCGCTGCCCGTGTCGTTCTCTAAAAATCGATGTTCCGCGTCGTGGTCGATGTCCGAATCGGTGACGTCTTCGTCTTCCTCTTCCGGTGTCGCGTTCGCATGTTGTTTCGCGAGCGTGGCGTTTTGCCTCCTGGCTTCCCGCGCCTTCGATTCCGCAATCGATTCCGGAGTCTCGCGGCGACCCGAGGATTCTATCAGGAAAGTGTCTGGCCACTTGAACTTGGACCTCCTTCCGTGTCTACTGCAACATGTAATTTTTATTTTTCGAAAATTGAACACTTGTTGGAAATTTCAGTAAAAACGCTGGATAGAGAATTTTTAAAATATTTATTGGCGCTCATTGCTAGACGCAGTCGAATCGACTCGAATTTCGCAGCAATTTTTATCCGTGGAACCTTCGGAGCTGGTTGGCATTCGATACGTCGGTATACATATCGCGTACAGGGAAAAATTGGCAATGTACTCACTTCTGAAAAAGTTTCTTGAAAGAACGACCGTCCATCTGCGGTGGCGTCTCTACGCCGGCCATATCCAGGAACGTCGGCGCCAAGTCGATGTTCAAAACTATGTCGTCTACTCTGCAACGTCATATAGATGCTTTATTGTAATCCAATATTGGAGCTTGCCCCTTCGAGGTAAATACCGATCCGTGGCGCGAGCATATTTCGCCGCGAGTGTTCTAACGCATTCATTTCTCGTTTCTTGTTTACATCCGGGGTTGGTTATAAAGCGTCTGTTATTATCTTTTACAAAAAGTCTCGACTGCTTTTCATCGTAAAACAAAGAGTGTTTTAGTTAAATGGCACATAAATTAGTATAAATTCCACGTTTTACGGTATAAAAACATGGAATTTGAGTTACTGGCAGTTATTAAATTCCCAATAGCAAACAGAAGAAGAAGCGAACTGCACACGGAAGTGCTCGCGAGGAACATTAATCTAACAGCGATATTTATAACAGACATCGGGAAGCGTGCTTCAATTTATAGGCGTATGGTCGCGGGTTCACGTTCACACGGTAGTTTGGCAACGCGAGCCAGTGGGCTGTCTCGGTTTACCAGCTGTTTTTTCGTCGATCGGTTTCACGGGTCGTGGTCGATAATTTGCCGCTTTCGAGTCTCCTCGTGGCGGGCCACAGAACCGTAATTCCAGGAGACACCCAGACAACAGTCACTTACATGGAAGCGTTCTATTTATTGCCGTGAAATCTTACCGGGGGTTTAAGGGATCGAAACGGATCGTGCTTTCGATGCCGGGATGCTGATAAACCGTTGTTTTAACGCGATTCGCGATTACAGCGATTATCGGACAAAATTATTGTGTACGCTGTGTATTTCAACGGAAAATTTACGAGACGACTGCTCTCCGTACTATCATCGATAAGGTGTTCGACGAGTTCCGTCTCATTCTACAAAATGAAAAGCCAAAAGGCGCGAAAATCGAGAGCTAGAAACAGTCGCGGATAACATCGTTGTAAATCATATTGTATATCTGTGGATCGATCAGAGTGAACTGTGTTACAACGTGTCTTAGAAATTCGCGTCTCGTCTTGGTATTTAACAGGCACCCGATCTTTCGTTTGTTTGCTTTGTTAGTTCGTTTCGAAGACTAAACGAGCGTTTCCGAGTAGGAAGTATTCGAGAAATCCGTGCGTAGTTCATCCTACGTGGAATTAAAATAATAATAAACTGGTGTGCTTACATGGTGCCGGGCTCGATTCCAGGTCCTCTGATGAGGAACGGTACTCTAACGTCGAATTCGAATGGGAAGCTCTTCCCTTTGATCAGCCCGAATTGACCCAAATGGTAGCCATGGTCGGATGTGTATATTATGTACGTATTGTCCAGTTCCCCCAGGTCTTTCAGTTCTTGGTAGATCTGTTAACAGAAAATGAACCATAAAAAATGAGTCGTCGTTTAAACGAAGCGACTTTTACGCGTCATCCTTTGACGCATTCGTGGAAGAATGCTTAATTAATAGGTGTCAAATGCTGTTAAGTCTTGCGAATCATTCTTACCCTGTTTACCGCATCGTCGACGCTTTGCAGCGTCTGCAGTCTCTTGGTCATCAGGAGATCCGTGAATTGCTTATGGATCGGCTGCATCTTCTGCGTGACTTGCAAGATCCATTGTTTATCGGGGTTCGGTGCATAGTCGTAGGCCGGAGTGCTGAAGCAAAACATTCAAATATCTTCGTTAGATTTTTCATACATGGTACGGTGTTCCGTGGAAATGTTTTCGGAATTCATAGCAGTACCGTTTCGTTACGAAACATTCATTTACCTCTCGGAGATGCTAGAAATTATTATCTAATCGTCCGCGATAAGAAAGGTTGAAAGCGATCCCGCGCGACAGATGTTTAAGCCGAGTCATCGAAGCCTTCAGTGCATTAGCAATTAATTACCAGCCCTTGGTTGGGTTTCCCCCCCGTTAAACTATTCCAGTTCCCCGATCAACTCTCGCAGCGAGTCGAATAAGTAGGATTTAGGTGTACGCGCGGTGTTCCCCGCCGGAATCCGAGCCGGCTAGGCGAAATTGAATTAACCTCGAGCATCTAGCAAGACGTAAGAGTTCGATGCAACGAGAAGGTAAAACACAGCGGACCCTCGAGACACCGTATCCTCTCTCCTCCTTTCTCTTTCCACCTAGCTCTCAACCAATTACGCGAGACACGAAATTATGGGTAATTGGCCCTTCACCTTCCTCCGCGTCCTTCAGGAACGCTCGCCTCGAACGTAGAGGATCTTTGTCTTATTGGCGGATCGTCGTACGGGATGCAGGAACAGGTTTACTCGGTTCGGTCGGTCAGAAATTTCATAGAAAACGGGGTAGTGGCGGAGGAAAATTCGAGACGCCGTGCTTTTCCTCCTGGAACCGTCGCGCAGACGCGATCGAAAATAACCCGAAATACTGTGGAACATCGTAGAGTATTTCGCCGGGTGGAAATAAAATCGGAAAGTGCCTTGTTCGTGAAGGAGAAGGAAAAAGAACGCGGGAAGCCGTGGTTCTTAGTAGAGAACACGTTGTTCGCGTTAATTTCGCCTTATAGCCTTTTCGTATGCCCGGCTGCTGACGGCCGTAAAGCGGCTCGTTGCTTTATGCAAATTTAAAATAAAGCGCGTAATCTGACGGAGGCCCCCGGACGAAGAATACTCTCGTTCCGTCGACGTCCCTCGCCCTTCTCTCTCTTTCTCTCGACGTATTTCGTCTGGACTCCTTAATTGCGGCCTATTCTGCGTACACCGGCTCGCCACGGCCACTTAACTTTCCCGCGAGACACTCGACGATTATATTTGCACCCAGACACGTGCCCCCCCCGCGCACCTTCCGTCTTGCGTTGCGTCTTGCTCGTTTGTCTCCGGATGCATCCCTTGCGCGCTCGTCGTTCGGTTACTCGGCTGTCTGCACGATGCCTGGTTAATCGACCGCTTAAGATTAACCGTGGACAACTTAATTATGGAATGGAACAGGTTGATTCTTAGTTCGGTCTGTCTGTTTCGCTGAACGGGCTGCTGCCAATATCAATGGTGTTTGCGACGAACGGATAAACGTTCGGACATTCGCACCGTTTCTCGGCTATCTTCTCTGCGTCCACAGGCGTGGTCGTTGTTGGAGGTCTGTAATACTTAACGACGCGCGGTTCTTGTTTCTTTCTTGCGGAAACAAGACTCGAAAAACGTTCGCATTCCACGTAGGCGGATGCAAGAATATATCGGATACCGAAGGTAATCGATATTTGAGTGACTCGAAGTGGCTGTTAAGCATCACCGAGTACCGCGGAAGCACGAAAGGAGGCCATGTAAAACGAAGAAAACTAAATCTTCGCCGGTAATAGCATCCATCGAAGACGAGCTTTCGAGTTTTTCTTTTAGCTTTACAACGATGGCGATCGAAAACATCTTTAAAAACGATTCGATATTACTTGGTACCGTACATATCGCATCCAGCCATAAAGCATCGATTGTTAAAGCGTTCCAAATATACACACACTAAATTGCCAAGTACAAATGATCCAACTGTCTCGTTCGAGCATTGCTCCGATCGACATATTTCACGTTGAACTATTAACGATCTCGCATCAAGACGATCCATTCGTCTCTGTCGATTCTACTTTCCTGTTTTCTCTTTTCTCGACTGCGGATCCTCGACCGCGTTTCCTTCGACGCTCGATGCACTCGGTGCAACGTTTCCTCGCGTCTTTTACTCGAATCGAATCGAATCGATACCCGTGCATTCTGACGTCTGGTATTTATCTCCGGTTCGTTAATATATTTTACCGTACCGATTCTTATCTCGTATCGATTCCATTATCGCGAGATCTGTACAGATCTTAGACCGGAAGTCGGCGCCGCGATGCACAAACGAGCGACGCGCCAACGATCGTGATCGTGTGGTTTTCGAAAAAAAAAAAACAACGAGAAACCCTGCCGAGACGTTCGAACCGATCGGTGCCCTATTTAAATTTTTTCACCACACATCCCTAAACACCAAGATATCAGCGGCGCGCCGTGCGATAATTGCCGCATAAATTTCTTCTACTAATTACTCCGACGATAAATCCGGATTATCTGATCTGGGAGGGGTGATATTAACAGAGCCGCGCAGGTTTTGCTGGGAATTAAAATAGAGCCTGCAGGCAAACGTTACAAACATTGGCCGTGCCTGCGATATGCACGCTTAATACAAGCCGAATCTCTGATAAACTCGATTCTCTCGGCGTTGCCCTCGGATTAGTCATGGTGAAAGGGCGCTGTCAAAATATAAACGTGCCAACGGGCCGCGATAACGGTAGTAGAGGTTCTGTCGCGCTCGGCTTTCCATAACGTTTAACCGAGAGACGCATTGCACGGCCATTAGCACGATCAGATCGGGGTAGATCAACCGTATTAATCGGTGAACGCCATGGACCACCTGGAAACGAAGACGAACCACTAGCCCATCAATTCGATATTAAAAGAATTTAACTTTTTTCTTTTAAATAAATTCAACGATCGATAATCGCGAGGAGTTCGTGGAAGTGACTATTAAACTGTTTCGAACAGAAATTTTTTAACTACAGTACCTGTTTGATTCTGCAAACGCCTTGTGCACTTTTCAAATTCTTATTTCTATAGTTCGCGTTTCGTATCGCTTTCTGTACGGTTCTCGATTTCGATCGAACGATCGATACCTGGTGTCCTGGTATCGCGTCGCGCAAGGCGACCGCTTATCAGATGTTACATAAAGCAGACAAGAATCCTGCGCTGCTTGTAAAAGTAAATTGCACGGAACCGTTCTGGAAAACGAGTTACAATCTGCACGATGTCATTCCGTTTGACACAAAGGAATTACGCGGATATCTATTACACGATCAACGCGTCGCGTTACACGCTCGAGATCATGCATTATTAAATCACGATTATTGACCCGCTAATTCACTAGAGACCCGCGATTACTCTTGTTCCGCGTGTACGAAATTAAACGATAGTAATTGTTGTCTCAAACGGTGGTCTAGATTGGGAACAACGATACTATTTGTTTCTAGATACCAATAGAATGCCATTAAAAAAGCCTATTTTCAGTTTAAATGGCATCCTTTAGTTATGATATCTTGCAAGGCAATCTGGGTTTATCGTAGCTGGAGAAGCGCCGAGTTCTTTTCGATCTTCTATTTTTGCACAAACCTATAAACGGTCTCTCTTACTCCGATACGCTATCTAAATTCATACTCTTTATTTCGTCTAGACTTTCAAGAAGATCCAAAATTTGTTACGTTCAATTCCACCGCATCCTGTATGCGGCAGAAAATGTGATTTTTAACCCTTCCCGACGTTTGTATGTGTAACACATAGAAGTACATCGTTTACCGTACAACGAAACGTACAACTTCTGGTTTCAATCCTGGCGAATGATTAACGTACACTGCAGCATTTGTTGGTCCGATCAGCGAACAGTGAGCCTATTATGCGAAGGTTCCACACGCGATTAGTCTGTTCTTTTCGGCGTTTCAATTGCTTCGTTAATTACAACGAAACGACGAACGATGGTCAGCGTTTTGCGGACCACGCGGTTTAATATCAGGAATTCTGGCCCAGTTTGCGCTCGGAAATCCGGTAATGAATCGTTCTGTCGCAAACAGGGAGGAACGGAGTTCTTTTCTTCCCTCGTAAAAGATACCTAAGTACAACTGCATTGCATTAGCACGGCAACGACCTACATAAAGAAAGGCAGAAAAAAAAGGGTCGGAGACGCTAGCGAGAACGATGCCTTTACGAGTCCCGTCTTTTCTGCCTCCACGTCAAATCTCTATAAAACTCGGTAACTGTGGTACTCCTGTGTAGGACGGACAAGCATTTCGAAAAAGTTGGCGAGCAGAGGCGGTGTGTACTAACAATGATTCACAGACATAACGGAGTTCTCTGTCAAACGCAATAGTAGAAAGATCCCTTTAGAATCGATCCTCGCGAGAACTCCGATCGACGGCATACGCTTATCACAGAATAGCGACGAATAAAAAAAATACTCCGTACAATGAGGCAATCTGCAGTCCCCCGGTTCACAAAAGATCCCTCGTGAAACGTCACGCGTTTCTCTCCTCGTCGTCTGAATCGTAATCGTAGATAGTTCCATACACGCGTCCAGCCGGGGAAAGAGACGAGAACAGAACGCGTCGTCGTACAGAGACGGAAGGAAACCGTGGATGTGTTGGTTTTTTATTTTTTATTGTTTTGTCGCGAAACAGAGACAGGTGAACATAATACCTGCATCGCGAAGGTACAATGACGGGCGTTGCCTGTGTCCAGAGGGGCGAGACGAGACTATCCACGAGGGGTGCGCGCGTTTTTAGTGCTTTTCATCGCGCACACTGCACCGCGTCTAGGGCCACTCCATCACCCGACGATGACACCGTGGCTGCGGTTATCTATCCGGTTGTCTAGTCTAGAGTGCCTCCGTCTCTCGTTTTTCGCCTCCATCTTTCGCTGGTCTTTCGCTGGTCTTTCGCCCGTACGGTATTAAACCGTTCACCGTCGAAACAACGTAGATTTCCTCGGTTACCCGCGACTCCTTCGTCTACTTTCTTCCTGTTCTTTTTTGCTCCACCGTCGCCTATTGTACGGTCACAAGAACGGTGATAGAACTTGGACGCCGGACGTCGAACGACACGCTCGATACACGTTTGTTGGTTCGGAGAAACAAGTCTGATTGTCAGGTAGCGCGCGTATGTGTCGCGACGTGTACGGTATCGTTCCTCGCGCGAAGTCGAACGTCATCGTGAATGAAAATTAATTGCGACGCACCGGGGATCGTTTATCGGGTCATTCCCTAAGCGATCAAATTGCTTATCGATGCACAGGAACTATCCTAATATATGGGTCCATTGTTAAAATTCTTGTTACGTCTGTCTCTCGGAACAACGTATTTTTCTTCGTAACTATCTCTTAGTAAACTTGAATTAGAAGCGTCGTATCCCGAGCTACAGGCCATTGTATCGAGCTTACGAGCCTCTATTCTTCACGCTTTCACTTATAACCAAAAGAACCTCGCCATACTGTGTCCTCCACGAAGTGAAACGTTCGTACCTACCGTTCGAAATAAACGAGTCATCCAAGCGACTTGTCTCGAATGCTCCATCCTCCGCATTAGACGATTCTAATATGTATACACGGCACAACGAAGGCTGCCGTGAAAGTACAGAAAAACGCGATTCAGCTTTCGCGCGTTTTATACGCCGGTGCAATTCAACGCGTTGAAAAGATTATCATTATCGTGTGGTTTTAGAGCTCGGTCTAACGATACGGTCTCGGCGAAAGAAAGTAGATTGCGACTAACGCGTCTCCGTGAAAAGCGCGTATAAAGAAGAAGCGCGAGCTACGTGTGTGAATAATAATGCAGCCAGTTGCCTCGAATCTCACGAGTCTTGCACGCTCTTTGGCGAGCTCGAGATCTATTTCACGAGAAGGAACTTTTGGACGAATAAGCGATGCGTCGAAAGGTCTATAATACAGTTTTTAATATTAATACGTTTCGAATGTGTTAAACTTGTAAAACCTCGCGGATTCGATCTTCTCCGATCGGAAAATCGATCCGAGAGGAGTCTGGAAATTCGGAACTCCGGAAATCCGCGGTTCCGTCGCGTTCGTTAAAACCGGAGGACCATGGATCAACGGCAAACAAATTCCTGATCCGGGCTAACGAACTGACCTACATTCACGGGGTTCGAGAGTCGAAGGACAACCAGTAACGAAGGCAAACACAACGACAAAGTTTCTGGTACTTACTGGTGAGTGGTGACGTTGAAGAAGAGATGCGAGAACTGGGGTGCAGAGTCCTCTGGTCCGTGCGGCGCCGGGAAACTCGCGACGAGCATCACCGGCTTCCGGGCGAAATTGTGTTTGCTCTGTCGGAGAAAAGCCACGCTGTCGTTCGCTATCAGGTCCGGATAATAGTCCTTGCTGTACTCGAAGCCGTGCTTTATCTTCTTGCCGTTCATGTTGACGCTGTAGTTGTAGTACCGTGAATTCATTATGAGGCCGCCCCACTCCCGCCATCCCGGCGGTATGTATGAGCCGTTGTACTTGTTCAGATACTTGCCGAAGTACCCTGAAACGTGTGTTTGCGATAACGTGGATTAAATTTCCGCCGACCGACGGAGTCTCTTCGGCCGAACCGTATCCGTAACCGTAATCGGATTCAGCGAAAGGTTCCCGATGTTCGTAATGCCGATTGTTCGACTCGAATCATGCTCTGATCGATCGTATCCACGGTGCACCCGATACAACCGCGAACTTGTTTCTGTCAGGGACATTTCGTTTTATTTTTTACAGCTTTGACAAATTATACATAGAAAAAATTTGGAATCGGGGCTCGCGATCGAATGAGTAATGATTACGAGGCGTGGTCTGGACTAACGAAAAATATATTCTACTCCCGACTATCGCGGCAGTAATTAATGTGCTATGGACACGCTCGGTTCGTCGCAGGAACTGACTCGTGTAACAGATCGATTACCGTGGCTAACGGTTTAGTTTTATTTTACGCGATTCGAATCGGAAAGCATGTTGCACAAAGGTTAGCTTGAAAAGCAGTCTCTGGCTGTTTTTCTGCTTTGTGCAAACTCCTATATACAATGTATATATTTTGTACCGATGTGCATGATAAAGATGTTTAATAATAGCAATGATTAACCCTACGAAACTACGGTCGATTATGTATTCAATCGTTATCGCTTAGCATACCAAGTTACTTGCTAGAAATTTCATGTACGAAACGTTCGGTACATAGCGCATATTCGCGGCTTCGTATATGGGACTTTAACCACTTAGCTTGGAATTACGTCTTCCAGGCGTGCAACTTACTGCAGTTCAAGAATGCCATGCATACGAAGAAGCGCTCCGCATCGAACTTTTGGTACCACCCAACCGTCAGATTATTAGATAAATATATTTTATTTTATTTGTAAAATCCAACATTGCGTATGCCAACCAGCGTTGAGCGAAATGTAATTCGATTACATTTGCCATCATAAATCCTTGCACAAAGTAATTGCACTATAATTACAAGCTCGTAAGATACGATGCATTTATTCGGCAAAAGCAATCGTGGCAAACGTAGTTGGATTACATTTTACTCAAGGTGGACGCAAACTGCTAAAAGTTTCAGTTTCTTTTCGGTGGGAAGTTTCAAATTTATAAATTTCTAACGAAATCTGTACTTCTCCACGGTCACGGGCTGCGATGGAAAGTCTGGAGAAGAAATGTTCCGAAGAGGTGCAGGTTTTCTTTCCGGAAGGTCTCGATAAATCAAAAGGCAATCCCATTTTCCGCTCTCTATCTCTAGCGTACAAAGGTGCGTCGGTCAAGATTCATCTTGCCGAACGTTGAATTATTCATACGGGTAGCATCAAATAATTAATTCAAAAGTACCACCGCCGTCCCTTTTGCCGTCCCTACAGCGTTTACATACCTGGTACCGGTAGCCGCGGTAGGGCCCGATATCGAGTTTGTACCGAACCTTATTTATAACAGTTGCACGGGAGAGGGGGTTCGGACCAGGACAACTTTTTGCCGGGCCAGGACCACCGAGCAGGACCAATCGCATTACTCTCGTTTTGCGTTAACCGATGACATCTCAATAAAGGGCCGCCTTGTCTGCTAAATATAAAGAACAGTAAATCTTCTTGGAAGGGAGACCGATGCTTCCAGCAAAAATTTCGCGCGCGTCCTCAACGACGACCTTTTAGGAGTCGATGATTCGAGGCAATCGCAATGATAGCTGAATTGTTCGTTGCGATAAAATATCTGTTTCGCTACTGCCAGTGATTAACAGACACCAGGAAAACTTTTTCGGAAGATCGTTCGACAGAATCGATGACGCCCTGTTCTGTTCTGGAACGGAATCATGAAATCACTCGCGACAGGACGCCCGTTCTGGTATTTTATTCGATACGAGCTGGCGGTCGAACCGGAAGAGAGAGAGAAAAAAAAGAGTCGCGGATTAATTAGCAACGTCGTTTAAAAGTTTTCTCGATCGTCACGACTAGATACTGTCGGGCCACTTTTCGAAAGCAAGACACGTTTCTCACGGAACAGGTTTAAAGGATCACAAGCTGATCTGGAAGAAGAATTTGCATAAAAGACTGTTTGCGTCGACCCGGTGGTTGGCCGCTTCCACGATTGCGCTTTAATTATCGATAATTCGGGCTTATTGACCGGAGCGCTGTGAATACGTTGAACCAACGACATCCAAAGTTATCGGTCAGTTAATCAAATTAATCGTCTCGATTCAGTCTGTGCCCGGGTTCGAATTATGTAAAGCTTACTTTCCTTCGTAATGAAAAAACTCAACTACAGATACATAATTATTAATTTATAGGTATAGTTTCGCTCTAAAGAAACTCTTAGAAACATGTACACGAGTACGAAAGAAACCGCTTCCTATCGAAATTATCAACTTTTTCAAAATCTTATTCCACGTTTTCGACGTATTTTTTGGCAAACCTTCTCTCTTGTTGCGAATGCCATGAATTATGCAACAAATCTTCGTTTGTATGCATTTCTTGGTATCGATTCGTTTGGGTCGTTCCCGGTGCATTTTTTGGGGTCGTTGCTACGGTTGTTTCAAGTACACTTCGCATGACGCTGACTTAACGCCAACCTAAAAATACCTGGATGCACTAGGACAGCCGTAAATATCAATTAGATTCTTATCCTGAAACGCGATGCTAGCGAAGAACGCGGACCGGTATAGCGTGCTCCAATAACGATCAAGCCATTGCTAACGAGTCTAATTGGCGCCTCGTCATTCCAGTTAATCACTGTCGTCGTGCTTTTCAGCTAGATAGGTCGTCGGAAAAACGTTATCGCAAAGCAGTCGCGGCTAGGTTAAATCTCGGCAATCTGACCCTTCATTTCCGGCAAGTCCTTCCGGCGCCCGCTATTTTTCATCTCGATAACCGTCCACCATTTTAAGTTTCTAATATATTACCGTCGTTATCCGGCTTTCGTCTCGCGAAAAACGAGTACACGTCAAAGAACAACCTTCGATGTCATTCTCGATTCGGCGCGGTCCGTTGGCGCGATACACCCTTTACATGAAGCCGTCGGTTGGTCTGGCCCATATTCCTGCTGCATAGTAGTGTATATCCGCTGCATCGATCGCTGCAAACCCTTCCTCCCCTCGTCCATTCCCTCGAATTCGTTTTGTTTGTTCCGACCGAAGCTCGGTCCGCGACTGGCGCCAGGATATCACGGATCCTCCTTCGTTCTTTTGTCCCGCTTTGTCGGACAGGCCGATCGACCGACCGTGTGTCTCGGCTTTTTACGATCCGGACGCCGTCATCAAGACCCGACCATTATTTTTGCATTTTCACTTGCACGCTGCGCGCTTTTTCTGCTTGTCGGTGCCGCGCCAGTGCGTTACGCGACCTTCCTCGCGTTCGGGATGCAACAGGTAACACACTGCGGCATCGATTGTGCGCTCGAATCGACCCATTTTTTCGTTTCGCGTTCGCTCCGTGGATCCTGGACGATCGACGATCGCGAACCCTTCCGCGGGATACGCTTTGAAGCCAACTCTTGCCAAGATAATCTTCCGTAAGTCAATTCGAAGGATGTATCTGTGCTCGTTTTAAAAGGCAAAGCCCCCGGTATTTTTCAATCTAAATTTAGACCATCGAAAGGATCCTTCGGATCTTTCGTGCTCTTCTCGTGAAAACGACAGGTCGAGTTGGCTGAATTAGCGAACGATACAAAGCTAAGTGCACCGGTATATTTGGGATATCGAAATTCGATTTTTTGGGATGTAGAAATTCCCAATTATTTCGGTCGGTAGTTTCGTGCGCCGAGAGTATTAACCCCTTTTCCAGGGCGGCTCGTCGATCGTTCACGAGTCTATGTTCTATTTGTACGATTCAACGGCGGGGCGGTTGGCTCTGCGATTTAAAAGCGCATCGCATGACTCTGCCTGCACCCTGGCTCCAACGAGCCCGCCAACGTTCGCCACGAGTCGCAAGAAGAATTGCATAACAAATAGGGTATTTCACGTCGAGCACAAATCACCGGTTATTATTCGAAAATTCCACGATCTCGGTCGGAGTACAAGCAGAGTCGAGCAGAAGGAAGACGAGGATGGACATGAGAAGACTCGTTCGAACAATAGATGCCCGTCGCATCGGGAATTCTAGGAAGGACGGAGTATTCTCAACAATACGAACGTTAAAAGTGCACCGAATTAACTTTCACAGACATATTCCGAGGTTGTAAAATATCTTGGTGGGTAAAATGCATTATTGAGTCGCGCGATTACGGTGTTGTTTAGTCTCGCGGACTATTATATTCAATAAACGTGACACTTCTCTTGCACATTAATCATAGGAAACGTTCCCGACAACTTTTCTCGGTGCCAACGTCTCTCGACGATGCCGTCATTGTGCAGTTATCGCGATTATGCAGATAATAAAGACAGATCTGTCTTATTAACCGTGCAAGCGTTCGTTACCGTCGTAAAGATCTTCGCGTCATCTTCCTCTGTTCCTCGTTCATTCCCGATTGTTCATTTTTACCGTGGCAGATTGGTATTTGTCGAGTAGTATGCGTACGACATGACATATTAGCCAACGATGCCTGACAGACGCATGAAATGTGAGAATTAGAATCACAATGCCCGATACATTTACAATCAATCGCGAGTGTTCGGCGAGTTGTACGCTATCGAAGGGAAGAGTCTCTCTTATTCGTAGCTGCACCTGCATTATCTATTTGCGACGACTCCCACGTGCGTACAGCACATTGCCGTTTGATATTCCTTGGAATCCGAGTGGGTGGTTCGCATAGTAGGTACTATGAAACCGTCTTTTAGTATTCCGTGAACATTATTATTTTACGGCGATAACGAGCATACAATCGAGGTACATACGAATATAGTAAATGTAACGGACCCTAGTTAGTGCTTTTAGACGAGTGAAATTTCGTCAAAATATTCTCGGACGCGTGACGATAGTGTGTTTCCGTATTTTGCAATTCGCTCATAGATCCCGAGCGAAGAAAATGGGCGCGCGACGGGCGTTGTTCGAGGAGCTTGCGGGAACCCGTCGTTCCAGCAGC